GTGGGAGTGGAGTTTGCAGACAAAGAACGTTTCTTGGATTCTGCTTTACATCCATATTTTTATTTTCCAACCTTTTTTTTTTTCATTCATTGTTGTCGGTTTCAAAGAGCCTCTGCATTGATCCAATGAAGCTTCGAAAGGGATCAAAGAACAAGAACACAGAAGTGGTATGTACATAAAGACAAGGACAAAGAACGAAAGAGCAAGTTGGATGCACTGGAGGAAGTCTTCCGTTTTATCCACATGAAGTACCACAAACTCTGGTGCGATGAGCCAGACTATGATGCATCCTATGTTCAACCTACAAGGGCGGACTTGGAAGCTGCGCTACTCGAAATGGAGTCAGCTCAGGCCAGTTGAATTGCTACTCCAAATGGAGTCAGCTCAGGCCAGTTGAATTGCTACTCCAAATGGAGTCAGCTCAGGCCAGTTGAATTGCTACTCCAAATGGAGTCAGCTCAAGCCAGTTGACACAACCAGTGTCAGGGCCACAGAAAACAACGTTGTCATCATTTGAGCATCGGTGCAGTTCAACAGATAGATAGATAGATAGATAGACAGACAGATAGACAGACAGATAGATAGATATCATATATATATAGATATCATATATATATATATCATATATATTTTGTTTGTTGCCACCTTTTAGGCTTGTAGATATCATTTGAGCAGAACCTACTTTCCCCTATACCATTTGACCTCTCCCCCACTCAATCCTATCAGTTATAAGTGGAGATATGACACCATATAACCCCATATTTCTATCCATTAGTTTATAACCATATATATATATAGGGTGCAGTTGATGCCATATAAGTTGTTATAACTCCATAGTTCTATCCATTTTATTCACCTCCAACGGCGGCGCCTCCATTGTTGATGCAATGTGAAAAAATGCCGCGCCCTGTGCAGCGGGACGGAAATCCGAGGCATATGCCCGCGGAGGGCACTGCGGCAGGCATCCGAATCTCAAGTGGTTAATAAGCCATAGTGAGTTCCCTAAGTGGATTATGACATTTGATAAGTGGGATATAACCCTATAGTTACTAACCACTTGCCAAAGTTATCTAAAGTTTATAAGTTATGACATTTATAACATTTAATTATACCCCAAGTGGATCGAAGTGCTGACTCAGAAAGTCCTATTAAGTAAGTGGTTAATACCCCATTTTATAACTGGGATATAAGCCTAGTTCCCACTGACTAACTGGGAAGATCTTCCAAGTGGAGGGCCCGCAAGCTGAACTTCAGGCGCTCATCGGGGGTAGAATGGGAATGGCGAACATCTGGACATGATGTAATTTACTGTGGCGAAATACCTCAAACTACAGAATTGAACACGTTCATAGCTATAAAAGTGTGACCTTTTCTTCAGGTTTATGAATTATTGTTATTTTATCCCGTTGGCATTAACTGTTGATCGCAACCCCTGACAAATTAAGTAAGTAGTTCCAGACCCCAATCTTAATCTCCCTAAAATAATAGCAATGTCACTATAAAACGGGGATCCCATAGAGGTCGTTTTGTTGTTTTTTATTTATGTTTATCATGTATTTGTTTGATTTTAAGGGGATATAATTGAGACTTGCATAAGCATAAACCACCTGAGCTAACCATCACCACCTGACATGACACTGATGGTACAATGTGGTGCCCAGTGGAATTTCTGTGTTGATGTTGTTTTCTGAACTAGCTCCATATACCATCAACCTACTGTAACACTTATGTTGTGGCTTGCTTCGCCAGCGATTCCGAAATGCGGTGGCAAAACAGCTGGCGGGTCGGACCTGGCAACAGCTGACCTATCCCTGGAGGCCTTGATCAGGACGTTAAGCCAATGGTTGGAGCAACGAGGATGCCATTTCAAGCGCACCACGCAAAAGCAACAAATCCCCAGTACCCTCTGGTAATTTAACATAGCTATTGAAAATGGCCATTTATAGTGGAATTTCCCATTAAAAATTGTGATTTTCCATAGCTATGTTAAATTACCAGAGGGTAAACAACCTCTTTCAAGGTCCTCGGAACTCGTTGATTTGGTGTCATTCTACGGTGCCGGCAGTCGATTCCAGCAGCCCTGGACATTGGGAGATCCATTGCCATTTAAAAGTCCCACGAAAACCACCATGAAACCTAAGATGGTAGAGTAGAACACCCAGCTAGGTGGAAAGGTGGCCATGGTCATTCAACCATATTGACTGTTGAAATACTCCTCTTTTGTGGCTTGTATCCCTTTTTGACGGTGAAATCTGATGTTCAATTTACGTTTAAGATCCACATGTTTGTTTAAGCTGGTTTCCAGCAATAGAACAGAAACGCAAAAAGAGAGATTAAACAAACACATGAATCCATGAAATGAATCCATAAATCGTTACAATCCATTATAAAAAAGAAACTGGGTGAACTACTCGCAATGAGTAACTCGCAAGCCGCAAAAAGATAGAACTAGTGACAACTTATGTATTTGTTTATCTTTCTTGGGGTTACTATAAGTACATATCAAATGAGATGACCTAAAACATATAGCAGCACAGCATGTCATCAGCGCGCAGGGGCTTCGACTGGAGCCAGAAGCTAAGAACGCGGTTCAGCAGGGTTGCGGAGTTGATTTCTGGTGGGTTCAGCCTGATTACCCTCTGGTAAACATACAAAAAACTACGGAAAATCACCATTTTGAATGGGTAAATCAACTATAAATTGCCATTTTCAATAGCTATGTTTGTTTACCAGAGGGTACATACTTGTATCGACTTGCTCAGAAATGGGGTAATAAAGAACGGTATACTTTAATCTTGTTGATGTTTTTATGCGGAAATGTATCGGTGTACCACTGGATTTCGGGATAGCCATTTTTCAGACAAACCCATATTGGAAGTTGATGAGTTCCTTGTTGTATTGCATTTTTTGGGTTTGGCTCACGTACTAAAGAGGTGATACAATGGACAAGAATGTTCATAGTTAGAATCATCATTCAGCCATATTAATTAATCTCATCCCAGCAATATTAAACTCCGCCCGAAACCATGGTTTAATAGGGTATGAAATCACATATTTGGGACCTTGTCTTTTTCACGTCCGTGTCTGCAGATCGCAATGGAATGGCTGCGTCAAGGTGTCTCGAAAGGTACTTGGTCTCCAGTAGTGTCTTGCGATTGTCTTGTGTTTTGCAAGCCATTCTTGACAGATCGCATTGGAACTGCTACATCGTGGATGTGATTTTAATGTTAGGATTTGCACGAGACATGGTGTTTTTTCGGGTAAGCGGAGCTTCCGTTGCGGGGAAAAGTAGGCTCGCGCGCGGGATGGTCTTAGGCGTCGCCGCTTTGCCGTGGAATCTTGCTCGAAATGCGCGCAATGTGAGGATGCCAGGTGACCTTTTCTCGTCCTTGTTGATGCTGCGCTATTGTGTTTTTGTGTTTTGCATGTGTTGACACACTTTGTGCATTGGAACTGGTGCATCAAAGCAATGTGTTGTACTGTAGTGTGTTGCAATGCTATGGTATTTTGCATGTGTTGAAGCACTTTGTGCATTGGAACTGGCACATCACAGCCATGTGTTTTACAGTATATAGTGTGTTGCAATTCTCTTGTCTTTTTCACGTCCGTGTCTGCAGATCGCAATGGAATGGCTGCGTCAAAATCCTCAAAAGAATTACCTATATTCCCTGGCAAACACATACTGAAACATGTGTTCCCCACCTGCCATGTGAAAGTCTCTAAATTTTATCAGAGCTGCATGCCGCCCATCGCCTCTTCCTCCTCCTCCTCCTCCTCCTCCTTCAGAAACCATGTCTTAACTTATATTTCGCATTTTTCCATGTGGAGGGAATGGAACGGCATTTTGTCGTAGAAGACGATAGACGAAATAGATCTACAGGTAGCAGCAACCATCTTAGAAGGCGGCAAAGATATATTTGAAAGACCCCAAGTTTGGAAAACTAGGGTCATGGTCTCCCATTCATTGAAAACAAAAGTAAGTTAGTAAGTAAGAACCTCCATAGCTGACGCTATCTGGAGAAAAATCCACCTCGCTTAGCTTGCTTGCCTTGCTTTGCTTGGAGTTTGTTGATATCATCTTGCCAACCACGCTTACGGGCTGAGCGCAAGAACGGAAGGTTTTTTTTGCAACCAAGACGGAAAGCAAACAATTTGTTGCCAACAGTATGTTGCCAAAATGGCTTGGCCACCTTGGCTCCAGAATTTTGAAAGCTAACGCAGCTAACGCTTGTGAAACTGCAAGCGCGGTTTATGGTCAAGCTAATGCGCCTTTTCAAGTCTTGAGCCACGGGGTGGCGGCGCAGTGTAGATGAATGAATTAGATGATCTACAGTGCACACTAACTAACACTAAAGCACAGCATTGCATAGGCACGTAACTAAAGCACAAAAATGGATCGCAAACTTCAAATTTGTGTTACAAACAGATTGAAGGGATAGGCATACATACCACCCAAAGACGTGCCCCTTAACCTTTAATTTGACGGCCATAGAACTGGCGCCGTGTTTTTTTCAATTGCGGAGCGTGACGCACATGCGAGTTCCACCTTTTGCGCTGTTCATCTTGTTCAGCAGAGAAGCATTGTATCTGAACTTCATATTTCTCAGTTCGGATAGCTCTCCGCAGGGGGGGGTTGGACTACTTGCTCACCATTGAAGATACCATTGCCAGATCGAAGGCAGCGCTGTGCATCGATGTGTCTGATTCGGAGCTGGCTACGTTCAGTGCCTTGGGCCATTTGAAGTTGTGCGTTCTGCCCGTTTCAGTGATTGGTTCTGGCAATGCTGCGTTATCAGCGAAGTTTGAAGCGCTTTTCAACTCTGTGTGCTTGGACAATGGGAATAAGAGTTTTGGTGCGACGCTACTTCCAGTCCGTGGTCGGATACTGCAGTGACTATGGCACGGAGTGGTTGTTTGATGAAGTCCCGCCACTGTCATGGAAAGCTGTGTGCAATGGGAACATCTCCAGCTCGCAAAACCTCTTGAAGGGCAGTGCTCCT